TTAATAATTATGATTAGCCATTCCCGGCTTTGTTGGGTTAATTGAACAAGGAAATGTTATTACTTTTCATGGTCGAAAAACTTTGAACTGGTAGTGATCTGTGATCTTAGTTCTCTACTGAAATCAGATAAATACTTTAGCCTTAATTGTTCAAAGCGAGCCCCATCAAATTGCATTAATATCGCCAATTTTAACCGATCGAGTGATTTTGACGAGTTTTGACTCAGTCAGGGGCAATAACTCAAAACTTTGCGACATAATTGATATTGCTTATTTTAAGGATCGCAGTTTTCATACCACGAAAAGAAACATTTTCAATTTGGTGGAATTTTTATTGACGTCAAATAATGAAATCACAGATTTGGGGTGGCAGGGCGGTTGGGATTTAAAACACACTCGGTAGACAGAGAGATGGCTTTTATCTGGGTGTCGTGGTGCATCATTGTGAAGCTAAACTGTACAATTAATATTCCAGTTCCAGACTTAACATATATAGATTTTAGCCGTAAGGCTACTAATTACTTTTATTTAGGAAAAATATTGTTTTATTCAACTTATTATATAAGTTGAGAGACGTAATTTGCTTTGTTAAAATGTGTAGCCTTTAAGTTTGGAGTCAACAAGTCGATTTGTCTATCATTTCTATAGCATGACGAAATAAGAAACAAAAGACTCCATTACTTCGAGAAAAAGAACTGCAAAATTTCAGAGACGACGTACAAGTTATAAAGGAAGATTTTTTTTTTACAAATTAATACTAATGTCGATTTTTATGGGAGTTACACCGACCTAGAAACAGTGCTTGAAGTTAAGATCCTAAGACATCGTAGCTCTAAGATCTTTCGAGAATATGCGGCCTGATCAACCTAAATTTCCGTTCAAGATGATATGGTTATGAAATTTGTATATTTTTCATTTTCGTTGGTTCTTAATAAATGTGACAGAAATCGGAAACTCACCACGAGAGATTTGTCATTAAAAATCAATTTTATTTTAAAGAATTATTTATATAATAGTTACTTTGTTAGGTTAAGTTTATTTATAGTTCTAATTTGATATAATTAATATAGTAATTAGACAGCACCTTTATTATAGATACTTCCTGGCCAGTCGGAAATCCTAGAGTCCTATAACTTACTTCCTATTTCAAGTTTATTTTCAGGTTATAATTGATCACGTTCACACTGATAACCTCATTAAAGATACAAACAATGACGTAATTATTTATATTCCTCGAAGGTTTAAAAACAAACAGATTACTTGATCAGTAAAAACTACATGGAACACATACGATTACTTCACATCAATTGTGTATTTTATCAAGCAAATATGTTTTGAAATTCAATACAATCTTTGTTTAAGCTACAGTGTAATAATCACTTTCTGTGGTGATGTAGCCACAATACCTTGATACTTTGATAATATGCAGTGACACCTTAATATTATCTTGTACGGTGACAGTTGAGAATTATAGCACACTTAACGATGCACACGTACGATGTCCAATCCGAAATTCCTTTCTAAAGTTTAGAATAAAAGTGATGACAGCAACTCAACTCTAATCAGATACGATTCGATGACAGAAAAAGGTTGGACTTTTTCACAATGGCTTGACAACAATCTCATTGCTTGAAGAGGGAATTGTTCTCAACTGATACCAGTTTAAAACATTGCCATCCATACCGACAATCTTTTTGGATTCTAATATCGTTAGATTTAAAAGAATTATTAATAAAAAATATATCTTTATATACAATAAACAATTATTACACAAAGAAACAACATAGTTAATACAGAATAGTGTAGGGTGAAGAGTAGTACTTCAATAGTAAAAATACTTTGTAAGCATACCATCCCACGATGCTCAAAATAAAAATAAATCAACTAAAATTGAAGATTGGAACAAAATCAGTTTGGTATGGAATCGGCATACTAAACAGACATTTGTTCCTTAATAATCACAAAGTTTGGTTTGGTGGAATCGGTACCAAGCCTTAATCTATACTTTTTATACATCTCTGTACAGCCTGATTTATATCCTAACGCGGGATTCTGACCTCTTCTCCTTGTTGGTATCTTCAATTCTTCACCTTGCCTCATGTTGTTCTCCACTCTTTCCATATTAGCATTTACCGGACTGGAAACTGGTATTTTAAACCCCAACCAACCATAGTTAATACAGAATAGTGTAGGGTGAAGAGAAGTACTTCAATAGTAAAAATACTTTGTAAGCATACCATCCCACGATGCTCAAAATAAAAATAAAGTCAACTAAAATTGAAGATTGGAACAAAATCAGTTTGGTATGGAATCGGCATACTAAACAGACATTTGTTCCTTAATAATCACAAAGTTTGGTTTGGTAGAATCGGCACCAAACCTTAATCTATGATTTTTATACACCTATCTCCAGCCTGATTTATATCCTAACGCCGGATTCTGACCTCTTCTCCTTGTTGGTATCTTCAATCCTTCACCTTGTGGCATGTTGTTCTTCACTGTTTCCGGACTGGAAACTGGTATTGTAACTGGAATTGATGGTTTGTATTCCGTGTACCGTGAATATCTAGGTAATGCTACTTCCGCTGCCGAAGGAGCTGGTGGTCTCGATCCCATCCAAGTCGGGGCAATGACTTTGCTGCCACCAATGCTTCCAGAGCGACTGTTTTTACTATGAGTCCTGGTGTCTCTTTTGGTGTTAAATGGTTTTGACTCAACAAATTGGGCCATTAAGTCATGGTGACTGTTGGCTGGCTCCGGTAGGTCCGGATCATCCTGGTAGTGCCTCTTGAGGATCTTTGTAGCACAGTCAATCCTTGGTTTAGTGGAAACATCAAACTTTTCAGTCTTCTTTGCACATGCTTTATCTTGGACAGCCGCACTCAATGGTTGTTCTGGAAGATTGTCACTGCCCAAACATACCGAGCGAAGTTCCAACTCGCTTTCCATACTGTTCTTAGAAGACAGGACGGTGTCGTTTGTTTGCCGGCTGTGTACATCTCGTGAGGTCGAAATGTCCGGACCTATGCTTAGATAGCTAATATCATCTCCATCTGAACTTAATGAAGTTTCAACGTGTTCACCTTTGGGTATGAACATAGGACGACGTGGTGTTGGTCTCTGATGATACACCTCAACCTGAACCGATTCTTCCTCTGGTAAATCAGGTTTTACTTCCGGTTCTGTGTTAGTATCAATATATTTTCTCTCTGTGTGATTTTTCTTGCAATTAAAACAAGAAAACAACCTACAATTCCTCCATAAGGTAGAACTTTGGTTGCGGTGAGGAACAGAGTGTCTTGCTCCCATAGCTCAATTACACTAATTGTTTGGTTGTTCTTAAAAATCCTCTTCTTGAAAGAGTCCTCTAAAGACTAGGTGCTTCTTTTCAATAAAAAATGTTGAAAACCAATTTCGCTCGAAAAGTGTCTTGCAACTTTCTTTATGTTAAAAAGAAATCCACCAATATAAGCGCTGTAACTAAACGTTATAACGTTGCAACGGTGACGTCACAATCAGTAGCATTATGTCTGCGCATCCAATTGAAATGAGTCCATTATTTCTTGGCAACCATCAAGATTGGCTCAAAATAAGTTTAAATAATTTTCTAACTTTCTAAGGTCATGTTTTTATTAAATAAAATGCTTTTTTAAAAAAAGGGAATCATTATAATATAAGATATTATGCTGAAACTTCATTCCTAAAAATTGTTAGAGATGATCATTTAAAGCATGACTTAATGTAGCCTATGACAAAAGGCTATTCCTGAATCATATAATTATAGTCAAAGGGCTTAACATCGTATCACGAATACAGGTTTTGACATGGTCTTTTTAACCCCGACGAATGACGAATGGGGGTGTGGGTTGGTGGAATAATGGTAATTGGTGGCGTCCCTTTGAGAATTGTAGATGGCACTACTCATTGTTTCTTATGGGGGAAGCTGGAGAATACATGTAAAGAAATTTCGGAAGCGAAAGTAGAATAAATAATTATACCATTATTTATGGTCCTAGAGTGCTAAATGCGTTAAATGATGTAAAAATTCTAGACAGAATAATCCAATATTTTCTCTTTAAACCGCAAATGTTGGTAACGTTTTCTTACCGAACATTCTTCATAGGCATCAACAATACCCCCTGAAAATTCATTTAAAATAGATGCGAACTTATTAGACCTGGTAATTCGATAATTTTTTTCAATATCATTTCAATCAATTCTTCCTACACGAGATGTCTACGTGTTACATATCTATTTGTAACACGTCAACATAAAAGGAGAAAAATTAAAAAAAACTTTTGAAATTGTCTGCAAATTAAAATACAATCTATCCAGGGGCGAGAATGACATAAAGATGTGTCCTATATTACCTTTATATCTGAATAATACGTCTAGTTAAATTACCTTTCTATCTGTATAATACGTCTAGTTGAATTAGCCTTATATCTGTATAATACGTCTAGTTAAATTACCCTTATATCTGTATAATACGTCTAGTTGAATTACCCTTATATCTGTATAATACGTCTAGTTAAATTACCCTTATTTTCTAATGTTTCTAGTTTCTAATGTGGGAAGCTAGAGAATACATCTCACGCGGTTTTGGAAAGTGTAGATGGACTTCTAGTTAAATTACCTTTATATCCGTATAATACGTCTAGTTAAATTACCTTTATATCTGTATAATACGTCTAGTTAAATTACCTTTATATCTGTATAATACGTCTTGTTAAATTACCTTTATATCTGTATAATAGTCTAGTTAAATTACCTTTATATCTGTATAATACGTCTAGTTAAATTACCTTTATATCTGTAAAATACGCCTAGTTAAATTACCTTTATATCAGTATAATACGTCTTGTTAAATTACCTTTATATCTGTATAATACCTCTACTTAAATTACCTTTATATCTGTATAATAGTCTAGTTAAAATTACCTTTATTTCTGTATAATACGTCTAGTTAAATTACCCTTATATCTTTATAATACACCTAGTTAAATTACCTTTATATCTGTATAATACGCCTAGTTAACTTACCGTTATATCTGTATAATACGTCAAGTTGAATTACCTTTATATCTGTATAATACGTCTAGTTAAATTACCTTTATATCTGTATAGTACGTCTAGTTAAATTACCTTTATATCTGTATAATACGTCTATTTTAATTACCTTTATATCTGTAAAAAACGTCTAGTTAAATTACCTTTATATCTGTATAATACGTCTAGTTAAATTACCTTTATATCTTCCTTGAGTGGCATTTAGTAATTGATGATATTAACACGAACACAATTATATGGATAACAATTACTTCAATAAATAACTTGCGACGTTTCGACGATGATTCTTTCGTCTTTATCAAGCAATGGTACAAAATAACAAGGCATTCAGGATATATAGTGTGGGGCAACAATAACAAGGATTAAAACAATAGAAATACATTAATCAATTATGTAGGGGTAATCACAAGGGTGTGTGATTAGAGAAACTATTAAAGGGATGTAGTAAATTACTTCTTGATTATAATGGTGGGGTGGTGGTGATTATAATCGTACAATGTGATGATAAATAAAACATAAAAAACTTGACTAGTAAGATGCCGGTGACAATCTAAATACAAAATTTGGGGTGGGGTTATTTAATTAAAGGGTCATAGGCATGTGATAAATAAACCCCTGTTTCTCTGTTGAGTTGCGGTTGGTATCTCCTTATGTGAATGGCTTCGGTCAATTGTCTCGTTTTCTTGTTGGTTTGGTGTTTAGTAAGGGCTTCGATAAAGTCACCAAACCCCCTTCACCAACAACTCGTATCACCATCCCATTTCTTGGCAAAGTATCCTATCAAATAAGAAGACTGATCAAACAAACCGTAGGAATAGAAACAACCTTTTCCTCTGGACCAACAATCAAGGACATCCTTCATGCAAATGGAAAACTGGCACTCACAATACCTCTGGCACCAAAAGGATGTGTCTACAAAAGCACGTGCTCCTGCA